GAGGAATGTCGTAGGATAAATTGGGCCAGTTCTCGTGCGGCGTTTTTAGAAACGAGGGCCCATGGAACCACTGTTGGTTATTCCTGATCTCTTCCACAGTTGCACCGCGAGAAACAAGGTCGGCAGGGTTGAGCTTCGACGGCACGTGATGCCATGTATAGTGTGCGGTGAGCTGCTGAATTTTTGAAACGCGATTGACCACAAAGACGGTCCACCTGGACGGCTCACCGCGAATCCAGCACAGGGCGATTGTTGAGTCAGTCCAACAATGGATGAGCTCTGACTCAATTGTGAATATGTTCACCACAGATTGAAGGAGTTCTGCTAGCAGCATTGTAGCGCACAGTTCCAAGCGGGGTAAACTCATTACCTTGGAATCTGAATGTTGTCGATCCGATTTAGTTGTTGATGGAAGTTACGCCATTGAGTGTAGACATCTTGTGGCACGCTTTCATCCCAGTCTAGTTTAAGCTCCCACAATTGTTGCATGAGTAGTTTGCACGAGACGATAAGAGGGTTGAGAAGACCAAGCGGATCAAAAAAGCTGGCTATTTGCGACAATATGGACCTCTTGGTTGCCTTCGACTGCGACGAACGATTGTTGTAGCTGAAGATAAAAATATCTTCTACTGGTGACCATTTTAACCCAAGAGTTTTCACGTATTCGGAATCGCCCAGTTTTACGCTCTTTTCCCTGTCTTCTTGGGGTACGTCCTCTATGACGCGCATATGGTTCGACGCAAATTTGCGTAGCGGGAAACCACCACTGCTGAGGAGCGACGTGACTTGTTGTTTTATGGCGATAACTTCGTTGACCGTTGACGCACCAGTCATTAAGTTGTCGACATAAAAGTCCTTCAGTGTGACGGCAGCCCCAATTGGAAAGCGGGAAGACTCATCTCTGGCAAGTTGAAGTAGGCATTTAGTCGCCAGGTATGGCGCGCAGCTGGTGCCATAAGTTACCGTTTGAAGTTTGTACACCTTCGGTTGGATTTCGGGTGAGCTTCTCCACACTATGCACTGCCAAGGCGTATCAGCTTCGTGCACTAGTACCTGACGGTACATCTTGGCGATGTCGGCCATGAGCACATATTTATGACTACGAAAGCGAATTAGTATGGTAAAGATGTCGTCCTGCAGAGTGGGACCAACACGAAGTATTTCGTTTAAGCTCTTTCCCGACGTTGTACGGCACGATGCATCAAAGACGACGCGAAACTTCGTGGTGCTACTGTCTGCTCTCATCACACAGTGATGCGGGATGAAGTAGCGCCCTTTCGTGTTGCTCTCAAGTTCAGTCATGTGTTTCATGGACTCGTACTCACCCATGAAGTCATAATATTGCTTCAACAACGACGGATTGCGTGCGAATTTATACTCTAGACCGAGCAACCTTTTAAGGGCAGTCTCGTATGAATGGCCTAGCGTCTGTGGATCTTCCTTTAATGGCAAGCGCACGATGAATTTATTGGTGACAGGGCATCGTGTGGTTGTGGCTTCGAAAAACTTCTCGCAGGCCCTTTCTTCCGCTCACAAAAACCTTGAAGACTCGTTGTAGCTTTCGAGAGTCCAGAATTTTTCGAGCAGATGATCAAGTTGAGGATGATTGCTAACAGCTATGAATGATTTGTACAACGAAAACGGTAACGACGAGGCTGTATGCAATGATGATGGTGACGAAGACGATAATGGCGGGGCTATTCCAGACACAATCCATCCCAGCTTAGTTTTTTGGAGTACAGAAGAGGTGTTGGGAAGCTTCATCTGGCCCACCAGCAAAAGGTCGAAAAACATGCCTGCACCAATGAGGCAATCAATGCCACCAGGTTTGTGAAATGTGCTATCAGCTAGTGTGATGTTTCTTGGAAATTTCCATGAGTCGAAGTTTATGTGATTGGCTGGCTGATGTGACGTTATTGATGGCAGAATCATAGCTTCGATGCTCGTAGCAAAGGCGGTGTGAAGTGGCTTCAGCTCTACAGAACACATCTGCTGAGTTTTTGTTGTAGCTGTGC